TATGAGAAGGTACAGGTAAATGTCGTTCAGGAGTGCTGTCTTGTTTTCTTTTGTAGATACATAAATTTTGTATTGTATTGATCTATTTGAATTGATTTGGATTGAATTGAATAGAATAATTTGCATTATATGAATGTATTAAAGAAGATAGATTTTTTGCTATATATACGCCGACACAAAAGTGCCACCAGAGAAAAGCAATTTTCTTTGCATTTCAAATACCCGCCGCAGGTTATGTCCGTTCCTATTCGTTAGAAAGCACCTCGTGCGAAGTTTCAGCCACAAAAAATTGTCACATATTGTTGCACTTAAAGCTGGCGCGAAACGTTCGAATTTTTGCATGTAGTAAGCAATAGGTTGAGCGTTTGTTTGTTCCGCATTATTGCCCAACTTTTCATCCTTTGAACCCCCGTCATCCCCTCCCCCCCTCCCCCCGCCCTCACCCCGCTACCGCTCTCATCAACTTTTGATGCACTGGGATAAAAGGATTTATTTATTATTATCGTCAAAACAACTCGACACAAAATTTCCTACTACTACTAACTGAAGCGCAACATGAGCAGCTCAAACTTTCCATCAGTATGGTCGCGAGAACATTTTATTGCCATGCTGTGTTGAGCGTTATTCATTGGTGCTATTCGATTTTTGGTGCACCACTTGGCAAAATAAAACGATTTGCGTTGGTGATGAAAGCAATTATTTTTGGCAAGTATCAGCCAAGCCTAGTAATGGTGTAACTAGCTGAGCATAGTATCCATATGCAGTATTATCGAGTGCTTGAGAAGTTGGGTACGAAAATCGAGTAACAATGAGGAATAAACTCGATTTATTGCCGTATTCTGAGAAAAAAATTCGATCCGTTTGCGTCAACTCTAGATGCAATATTTTTGGTCTAAATTTGGTATGGAATAGTTTCTTTAAAAAATGAACCAGAATTGAGCAATACTTCAAAAGTGGTGTTTTTTGCAGCATCACAATGTATATGTGAAGATAAGTATGAGAATAAGAATAGATGAATAAGTATTGTTACTATTAGTGATTGGTTGTTGTTGTTGTTCTATGTAAATAATTGTTGGAAGGATAGTTGAAACCATTATATTGAGAAATATTCAATTGATCGGTTGGTAAGAAATGATTTGTAAATGTTTAGAGGGAGGATGACGAGATCGAGGAGAGGTGAATGGCTAAAAGCGGTATTGTAGTGGTATCAGTATTACTGATAGTGAAAATAGTAACAGTAATTGAGCTAATAGTAATAGTGATAATGATAATGGTGATAGTGATTATAATAATAAGAAGAAGAATGCTAGAAAGAAATAATATTCCTGAATATGGTTGTAATTTTAGAGTATAATATTTTTAGTAGTGTGTTGCGAGGATTGTGAAATCGGGGGTCCAACACACTACACTGCACACGCTATTCCCGGTCTCCGGCCTTTTTCGAGCCGGCTGCAAAATTTTGTCTTCAACCTTCCCTGTCCCCGCAACACACTAATTACTATTTGAAATGAAATATGGCAAATTTAAAAATTATAGCGTGTAAAATTTCTACCCTCTGTCGTATTGTTAATTAAATTGCTCAAAGATAAACTCGTAATCCATTGTGATAAGATCATTTGTAATTTTTTATAACGTATATAAATAATTACCATTGGATATTATATATAACTATAAAATAGCTATAAAATAATATCCAATAAAAGAATTACTATTATAGAACTTGTAATAATTATTCATGTATTCATTTAGTTAATGCATTAAAAAATCTCAATTTGATACGATGTGGTAAGCAATAAGAAAACACTCTAAACGCCAGAGTACAGCTAATTGAACTGAGTTTTTGCTTTGGTCACGTATGACTTCTGCTTACATCAGTTTTTCGTATGTATTGATAATAATTGTACTAATACTAACAGTATTGAGTTAATATAATTAACAATAATGATAATAACAGCAATTGAACAATAGAAAACTTGTTATTGATCAAGTAAGTAGAGAAGGGGCTGGCAGTAGTGAACTAGAGATACTGAAGCAACTGATAAATACTATTGTGATTATTTACGTGACGATGGTAATTGCTACTTCTGTAATAATAGTAATTCAGTGAGGTATATTGAATGAGAAAGCAATCTTTCTCAGTTGCTCATACGAACGATGTTTTGTTATCAACATGCCCTTACTTCTCAAGAATTGTTATTATTACTGTTAGAGTAACATTAATACATGTATTTGTAAGTATATAGTATGAGTATAAGTAAGTGTGCTTATCACATGCTTATCATATTATTTTATTAGTTCAGCAGATTGATGCGAAATGATAATAATATATAGTTATTAAAAGACAATTATTATGATTATGACACATACCATTTAATGTTATCAGTTAACGAAATGGTGCATTGCTTTGTGATTCGATGATCATTTCAGATCTTCGTATCAAACTTTTGAATTTAGTCTAAATATTATTTGTTGTAACCATTATTATTGTGGTCGTTAGTATCAATTGAATAGTTTAAATCTAATTGTTTTTTTATAAATTTTATTATTTTTTCATAGAATTTTTTGTTCGTATTTTCAAGTCCTTTCCTATGTTCAGATGGACGTTTTTGTGTACCTTTATATGATTGTATTAATATTACCTTTATTATTATTATTATTATTATTATTATTATTATTATTATTATTATTATTATTATTATTATTATTATTATTGTT